GATTAATCACATAGAATGTTAGGAAGATTAGTCACACAGAATGTTAGAAAGTTAATCACATAGAATGTTAGATAGATTAATCACATAGAATGTTAGGAAGATTAATCACATAGAATGTTAGGAAGATTAGTCACACAGAATGTTAGAAAGATTAATCACATAGAATGTTAGATAGATTAATCACATAGAATGTTAGATAGATTAATCACATAGAATGTTAGGAAGATTAATCACACAGAATGTTAGGAAGATTAATCACATAGAATGTTAGGAAGATTAATCACATAGAATGTTAGGAAGATTAATCACACAGAATGTTAGGAAGATTAATCACATAGAATGTTAGATAGATTAATCACATAGAACGTTAGATAGATTAATCACATAGAATGTCAAAAAGACCGAACGAATGTTAGAGAGGCCAGACATACACGTACATTGTTAGAAGTGTTATCTAACTTGTTCTAAATGTTTTTTTTTCACTCTCTTCACTCTCCCAAAAATTATACTTCTCGAGTTCTTCGTCAGACTTTGTTCTCCAGTTTGTTGAATTCAGTGGCTTCTGTCAGAGATTGTTGTGGTGAGGGTATATGAGAGTGGGGAAGAGGGGTTGCTTTATTCTCTCTGTCTCTGTTTCTCTCCCTCTCTCTCTCTCTCTCTCTCTCTCTCTCTCTCTCTCTCTCTCTCTCTCTCTCTCTCTCTCTCTCTCTCTCTCTCTCTCTCCCTCCTTCCTTCCCTCCTTCTTCCGTCTCTTTCCCATTATCTGTTGCTCACTATTTTGTCTCGGCTTCATCATGAACCGTCTTTACCCACTTTTCTTTCCCGCGTCTTCACGAATTTCCAATCACTCTAATCCTTCTTTTTTCTCCATCTGACGAGGGATTCATTCAAGTAAAGAGATGTTTTAATCGACCATGAGCTCGGAACTTCAAAAAACCACTGAAGTTTTTCTTTTAATTTGTTTCTCATTGGTTTATGAAAGTTTTCATTGAAAATTTATTTGAAAAAAAAAAATCAAGTGCATTTAATGGGATAAAATCATCAGAAAACTCAATATAGTAAATTAATTTAAAAAAAATGCTACATTTTACATAGATAATTTATATCAAAATTTAAAGTAATGAGTGAGGATGTTGCAGCTCTGAGAGTCATTTAAATTCCTGGCTCTGCACACTTCGGGAAAAGTAGCTATTGAGTGAATGATGGTGATTTTGTTTCCTTATTTATGCCATTTATTTTGATGGGACGCGGCCACTTTTCTAATGAATGATTGTATGTCTTTCGACACTTTCCTTCACGGTGAAGACCACGTCATCATCGTGACAGAAAGTGTTAAGTGTCTAGCGGGAACATTAGAAACGCTTCCCATTACGCCCAACACAGTCGAGGAATTGTTAGTTAAGAGACTAAGTTCAGTCTCCTCTTACGTAGATACCAACCTTACTAACAGTTATGTGCTCTTAGTAGATATTAAACATCTTGTGCTATGTTGGTATATTATGTATATATATATATATATATATATATATATATATATATATATATATTATATATTACAGAGAGAGAGAGAGAGAGAGAGAGAGAAGAGAGACAGACAGACAGACAGACAGACAATGACAGACATACAGACAGACAGACAAACAGACTGACAGACAGACAGACAGACAGGCAGACAGACAGACAGACAGAGACAGACAGACAGACAGACAGACAGACAGACAGACAGACAGACAGACAGACAGACAGACTAACAGATATGTTCGAAGATGAAACAAAATTAACGAATAATTGCGCTTTTGTAGATCTGGTATACAACCAGAACAAAACACAGGATGCAAGTACACTTCAAGTACACTTCCCAAGTTCCGTCATAATAACATAATGTTGAGCATTCAAGATCTCGTTTACATTTTAAAGGCTTCATGAGCACCATTATTTACAACCTCATCTGAGGAGTACTTGCACGGCTTCGCTTAATCTTCGCTTAATCTGATCATATTGTAGGGTTGGTCCAAACCTATTCATCTGTTGATGGTAAGTATCATGTGTCCCTTAATTAATAAATGATCGCAGCAGAGTCCGTCTTGCAAGGCTGCTTGCTCAATGTGATGAATAAGCGCATATCTTGTTAGAGCAAAATCTATAGAGCGAGATTTCTTAATGAATAACTAATGTCGAGCCTCGATAACTTCAGTAAGGTTGCTGGTTCTGTGCTACCAAATCACTGTAAATCATTCTATGATAACAGCTGTGATAGTTTATAGTTTTCCAGGGAAGTCATGTAACTGTAGCAATGCTGCTCTTGAGTTCTGTCACATCCTGTGTGGCTGTGAAACATGCTTAAAGCCTTTGACTCTTTTCGACCTCGTGAAGCCACAATAGAACGATTTGCAATGCAGCGAAATATGTTACCCACTCCAAAAGATACCCATAATTTGTCATTATTCACTGAGGTCATGACTGAAACAACGAGAACTACAGTAATTGTATCAACTGAGTGGATCATCATCATTCAACTGTCTGTTTCCTCATTTTTCACAGCTATGAGGACAAAAAAGACTCTGCTGTGTGTGTATACTTATAAGCCAGGAGGGCGATTGTTATTACAGGTGTGAACCCCGGAGACTTTAGTCGCTCTTTACTAGGTACTAGTCAGTGGTGATGTGGACTGGTATGCCAGGATCTACTGTGATGTAATGTTATAATATTGCTCACACCTCACTGAACAGGTTAAAAAAAAATTACATTGGCCACCGTTTTTGTAGAATTTCAGTGCAGAGGTTCATGGTGCTGATTTGAAGGAGGAATGTCACTTTTTTATATATTTGATGGTGGTAGGGGAATGGGAGTTCACTGAGGTCTGTGGTCACAAAAGGTTGCTACCGGTCCTGAGCTGTCTTGGGTGATTAGTGTGGGGTGTTATAGAGCACGATGGCTTCCTTCTGTAGTGTTTTACAGTTTGAGTTCAAGGCGCTCGCTGAAGGAGGAGGATCTGCTTCTCAAGGAGAAAAATTAGAAACTAAAAATTCGCCAGGAAAACTATAACAATGAATTCTAGGTGAATATGGTTACTGAAGAGAAACAGGTTAATAGCAGTACGGCACAGGTTGGCAGCCGTAACAAGTGGCAAGTGGTGTCCAGTATAAAAGAGAAACATCAGGGTGAGGGAAAAGTTCAAAGAGAAGATCTGGAGGTAGGAAATTGCTTTTCTGCTCTCCAGGACAAATGAACTTCAATACTCAGTTAGGTTAAAGATAACACTAACTCCTCAACTGTTAAAGGTAAGAATATCTTTGTGGTCGGTGACTCACCGGTAAGATATATTGAGGGTGCTTTCTGTGACAGAGTTAAGAAGGTGAGACAGCCGGTGTTGGTGACGTAGTCAACAAGTTGGATAATATCATGTCAGGTAATGGGGATAACCCCAGTTTCTGTCTCAGTGCTGGTTGAAATGATATCGGAAATGACAGGAGACAAGAGCTGCTAGATAACTACAGATCACCTATAGAACTAATTAGGTTTAAGGGATGGATCCAAATCATAAGTAGCATTTTATTTAGAAGAAGAGTGAGCAAAGAATGGTTGCCTTGGCAGTTGGTGTAAATTGCTGGCTAGACAAGTACTGTAAAAAACTTCCAGCCCTATTCACTGACAACTGGGACAATTTCTATAGTAAACATGATATATACAAGGGACTGGATGCATCTCTCTGGGGCAGGGGTGGTAGCGTTAGCCAACTCTGTCAAGGGGGCTATTGCAGACTTGTCTAAGACTTTAAACTGATGTGGGTGTGTGTGTGTGGGAAACAAATAGGTTGCAGCATGAGGGATGAAAGCTGCAAAAATTGCCAAGATACCTCAGGGATATGTTCAAAAGACATTATCATTATAGTGGTACTAATAAAAGCAACTGAATTGGTTTACATAGAAAGACAGAAAGAAAGATCGAAGAAGGTAGCGAGTAACTATTATACTAATAGTAGTAACGCTAGATATAAAATAGATGAGGTTAGATTAATTGCATGTGCAGGAAGCGTAGATATTTTTCTATAACAGTAACCAGGTTCATCCTGAAAGATGAAGAAATGCCTTCTAAACGTCACATACAGGATAATAAATTGTTCAACACAGATAGGATCAACAGGAAAGGTTGAGTGGCGATATATATCAGAGATAATTTAAACTGTTGCTTTAGATAAAATATAAAAGTGGAAGGAAGAACACTGAATCTGTTTGGCTGCAATTTCTTCAACAACGTTAGCAAATAATCTCGGGTGTGATATACAGGACCCAAAACCTCACGTGTATGCTTATCAGCATTTAGTTTTGTTCAGTTTTCTCTTTCGCTTTCATCATCACAATCGATCACCATTTCATCTTTCTCCCTCTCCTTGATTCCTTTCCTCTCCTCATCACCTCCCTCCCTTTCTCTAACACCTCCCTCCTTTTCTTAACTCCCCTTTCCTTCTCCTTAAAACCTCTTTTGCTCTCCCTGAAAAGTTTTTCCCTCTTCCTAGTGTCTTCCTTCCTCTCCCTCTTATCACCCTCCCTCTCTCCATAAGAGTTTTCTCCCTTCCTTAACGTGTTTCTCTCGCTCTGTAAAATCTTCCTCCTCCCTAACACCCTTCTCTCTCTCTCTCTCTCTCTCTCTCTCTCTCTCTCTCTCTCTCTCTCTCTCCCTCTCTCCCATAACACCCCTCCCTCACTCTAACCCTTCCTCCTCCCTAACAACTTCCACTGTCTTACTCCTTCCTCCATTTCGCTAGCACCCTCTCCCTTTATCTTTCTCTACACTTTTTTTTTGGTCTTGCACATCCCTCTTCCTAACTCCAGTGTACCCTCATTCTTAACATTAACCTCCCTATGTAACAACTTCCCACTCCCTAACATCCTCCTTGTTAACACCATTATAACTCTGGCTAATATATTGTTCTCTCTCACTAACATCTCTCTTCGTCTAGCTAAAATATCCCTCCCTCTTACTAACACCTGGTGTTCCCCTCTCTCACCAGGTGACATACACGCCCCACACACAGATGGACTACGGTTTTCTGCTGTGTTGGGCTACTAACTCAGTGGGGCAGCAGCGGGAGCCGTGTGTCTTCAAGATCTTTCCTGCAAGTAAGGTCTTCCAATCTGCTTTTTCTTCATTTTAAATTTACAGGTGTAATGTTGTAATGTTTAGAAGTTGATGTACTAGGACAGTAGGGAAGTGGTGATGTTAAATCCACAGCTTCCCTGTTATATTCAACTTACAAGTTAGATGTTATGCTGGATCTTTACTAATCCTGTTATGATAAAACCCAACTTTTTAATTAAATTTAAACAGTTATTCTTTATCATTTCTTTTTACGGTTAATCAATTGATAATACCGCTTTTCCTTGTTTGATTTTCCTACACTTACTTGTCACCATTTATATTTAGAGAAGATGGAACAAAACAGAATGACTTGCATGGCGTATAAATCAGTAATACAGGGAAGGCGGGTAGGGATCGTCCAAGGAAAGGCTTTTATGTGAGAGGGGCTTAGACTTCCAGCAAGAGTGTGTGAGCGTGTTAGACAGGAGTAGAGGCAATTAGATCTTATGACTCGACGTGCTGTTGGAGTGTGAATAATGTAACATTTATAAAGGGATTCAGGGAAATCGGTTGGCTGGACTTGAGCCATGGAGATGACAAGTACAGTGCCTGCACACTGAAGGAGAGGTGGGGATATTGGAAGTTTCGAACCGTAATATCGGCGCCCCTCTGGCAAGAGTGACGGAGTGAGTGATGGTGAAAATGTTTCTTCTTTTTTGGATCACCCTAACTCGTGGGAGACGGCCGGGTTGCTGACAATAATGATATATATATATATTTTATATATATATATATATATATATATATATATATATATATATATATATATATATATATATATATATATGTATATATATATATATATATATATATGAATAAATAGAAAGATGGGTGGGGGATTGAACCGTGGTCCTGGGATTAACAGGCCCAATGTTTTACCACTGAGCTACAGAGCTTCTGCTGGGAAAGATTCGGAAACCAAATTTATATGTAAGTCTCCGTCAGTGGCACCAAGTGTGACCCAAACTGTCTCTTTCCCTCAATTTCATGAACCTTCACAGTAAATCTATCCTCAATCCACCCTTCTCCTTCTCCATCTCTTCCTCCTCTGCCACATCCACCTCTTCCTCACCCCACCTCCTCCTCCTCCTCCTCCTCCTCCTCCTCCTTCCCATCTTCTCCACCGCTTCTTTCTCCTTACCTCGTCCTCCTGCTCTTTCTCCTCTTCTACCACCTCTTCCTCCTTCTCCTGCACTTGCCCCTCTTCCTCTTCCTCCTCTTTCTAATTCTTCTCTTCCATCTCTTCCCCATTATACTCCTCCACATCTTCCTCCTTCTCGTCCTCCTCACCCTTTTCCTCCTGCTCCTTAACCTCTTCTTTCTCCCTTTTCCTCTTTCTACTCCTCCTTATCTTCCTAAACCTCCTCTTCTTCCTTCGCCTCTTCGCCCTACTACTCCTTCACATCCTTCTCAACAAGCAGCCTCCACCACATACTTCTAATAGGTCCACAAGACCAGTAATACCATCCTGGGTGGTGTGTACAGGGCCACCAGACACACTGAGGAACTGTACGGTGCTGAACGAGACTGTGGAGGCCGTCCAGGTTGGCTGTGGTGCGGGTTACGACGGTGGTCTGCCTCAGAATTTCATTATGGAGGTCTACGAGACGGAATCGCGCAAACTTAAGGTAAGACATTCTTTTTGTGTTTTTATACTGTAATTTTGTATTGCAAAAGCGGAGGTTCGATCCTCTGTCTGATTGTTTAGGGTGTTGTAACTGGTCTGACTGATATACTGCAGAGTGACTTAGTCACTGAATGACTGATGCAAGTCTCAAGGTGACTGACTACTGTAACTGATAAAAAGACGGTAAAATTGACTGTCAGTAATTTACATAAATTGAAGTTGGATCAACCGGATGTCCAGCCAGTTAATTGACTGACTTAACTGATCAGAACATCCGGTGATTAATATTGTCATTTATTATTTACATAATTGTTACGTTGACTGTTACAACCTAGGTTCTCAAAGGCCTGTTATCCTGGGTGTAAAGGGAGCAAATCGAACACAGCAGAAAAAGTTTAACTTGTATTATCCTTCACCAAGTATAAACAGCAATATGTACACTATATACACTATGACAGCAATAGGTATTAGTACACGCCACGGTAATCGAGGCAGAATTGAAGCCAATAGAATGTAGACCACCGTGCTTCAACCAGCTCTCGAATGGAAATGACAAGGGTAAAAACATGCGTGGTAACCACGTCACCTTTACAATTGCCAGATCCACATTATGATTGGTTGAACCTAGACACTGATCTGACGATGGAGCCCCGATCGTCCGACCCTTAGTACCTGGTTCGCTGGTTGGGAAGGTAGTCTTTTAATGAGGGTGTGTACATGCGCCGAATAGAGGTTACGTGCTCTTTGCTTGCCACGTTGATGAATAACTGACTTCATTTGTGTGTTGATAAAGCCATATAAAATTTCCATATTTAATTATCAGTTTACTCAATTTAAGTAAAGAAACTTGTCAGGATAATTAATGGGTATTAAAAAATGGAATGTATAATTTATCAAGTCAGTAGTTGATTTGTTTACCTCACTGAATGAATGATCTAACCATTTATTGTTTAACTTACCTGAGGAATGATTTTTGCTCTGACTGGCAGAGTAATTTGTATCTATGGTTGTGCTTCAGCTATAGAATACATCATTTGGTGGTGTTCAAACTTTCAGTATTGATGACTTTTCCTCTAATGAAACCACTTCCTGATTTTTGGATGAACAAATTATAATGTGCCGGATTTATTCAGCAAATTGGTTTCAGTGAAATAAATGAAAACTGTTTCTGTCTATCCAAAATATGTCACAGTGTTTGGGGTTATCTGGTTATCCTGTGTTATGTCAATATAAAATAATTTTGGTGACATCTCTGGGCCCTCAAGGCAACTGATAAATTGGGAAAGTGTAGTTCTCAACAGAATAGAATCAGCAAGACATCCTATTGGGGCAAGTGTTCCACAGGGAAGTGTGCTTGGGCCATTGTTATGGAATGTCTGCTTCAATGACTTTCTTCATATCATGCCATAATCCCATGCATGTGCAGACGTCTGTACTCTGACATTTACTTATCCAAGAGAGGAAATGCCAGCTTATCTAAGCTACATCAATTACCAGGTAAGAGCTATATCAGCCTGGGGAAGCCGATGGCAGGTAACATTTGCACTTGAGAAAACACAGATGATGATGGTCTCTAGGCACCATCATGGTAATCCAGGAGCGGTAGTATGAATGGGAGAGTGTTGGTACAAGGCGGTCAAGAAGCTTAGAGCACTTTAAGGCATCTCGCATCTGCTCTACAATAGGGGTCGCAAGATTCTGTACAAGGCACAAATACTCTCACACCTTCAGTATGCTCCACTTTCCTGGGTTGCCTGCCCCCCTTCTCATCTGCGACTGCTTGACAGAGTAGAGAACAGAGCAAGACGACTCATCTCTCGCCTATACCCAACCTGGATAGATATGTCATTTCAACAGAGCCTTCAACACAGGAGGGATGTGGGTGGCCTTACTCTTATGTACAAGGCTAATATTAAGGCATGTGCAACATCTGGGTATCTTTATTGTAGACGTTTCGCCATCCAGTGGCTTTATCAATACAAATTCTAGGACATAACTTGAAGACAGTAGGACTATATACAGAAGATGAGGTAATCAGTCCCTCAACCTAGGAGTAGATGCGAAGAGCTCTTCGCATCTACTCCTAGGTTGAGGGACTGATTACCTCATCTTCTGTACATAGTTCTACTGTCTTCAAGTTATGTTCTAGAATTTGTATTGATAAAGCCACTGGATGGCGAAACGTCTACAATGAAGATACCCAGATGTTGCACAAGTCTTAATTTCATCTTGTCGGTATTATATACCATTCTTGCACAAGGCTAATATCGTCAAGGTATCACACTTGGATCCACTCCGAGACAGCGAGAACTGAGCCTCCCCAACAAGACGGAGAGCTTCAGCAACTTCACTCGACTGACCTTCTCCAGAATCATTCATCTGAATCATTTATTCAGATGACTCAGTTGGAATCATCGTACACCTAATAATCAGAAAAAAGTCAGTGATGAAATACAAGTGCCCACAGATCTCCAACTTCAACTTGTTTACCTACTTGCATTTAAAGCAATAAAAAGCTTCCAAATGAACTTGGTACCCTGGGACTAGCAAATGAGTTAGAACACTCACCCAAGCAGTTTACCCTGACTGTAAACAAATCAAAAAACATCACTTATTGATATCTAAATCCTAGGTCACTCGAGTTTTCTTATTGAGTTTATCCTAGAATCGAGAAGTATCGTGATCAAAAGCACGCTGGCCCACGATGGCTCCAACTCAACTGTCTATTGTATGTCATACATAAAGACTCCATGTAGTGTAGGTAACAGCTCACACGTCGAACATAAAGCTCAGGAACACTTCACCTGATGGTACATGACAAAGCTGGAAAAAAAAATCAATATTTATTTATTGTGAATCGAACCGACCCTCGATATGTTGCTAGATAATTTCATTTCTTCGTCTGTCCTTAACACATCATCGTTGATAACTTGTTAATAAAACTTTTGAGCAGCTTCAAACTTAATGTTATTTTGTGTTCTCGGATAGTGACGTCTCTGAGATAACACTTTGGCTTCAAAGATGGTGTTTCTAGGATGAAAGTTCCAGTTAGTTTTGCTGCTTCGTCCAAATTAGGTATCCCCGAATCGAAGTTAGTGGCTTTTTCACCATTCAGAAGAATATATCTTTACCGGATGGTAGTACTGGAACTCGGAGATCCTCTGGATGTTCTACACTCTGACTGTCAGAAGGAAGATGTGGATATGTTATTTTTAATTTATTTTTTTTAATGAAAATCCTGACACTCTTGTGATACGAAAAAACAGGTAGACTATAGCAAAAAGCTGACAAATAGGAATCAAGACACTGGTAACCTTGGGCATTACGTTGCATTAAAAGGTATGTAGGTGAATGGTTCAGAGACCCGACATGTTGATAAATTAGACACATGTGCAACTCTTGGGTATCTTTATTGAGGAAACGTTTCGCCACACAGTGGCTTCATCAGTCCATACAAAGGAGAATCTTGATAAAAAGGAGAAATGAGTAGGTAAACAGTCCATGCAACCTTGGATCTATTGGTCGTCCTACAATAGCCTCAGTCATAAGAAATTAGAGAAAGTCACATGAACATCAATGAGTCCCCACCGTTAATCTTGATGGACTCACCACCTCAAAATTAAGTGAAATAGGACTGTTTCCTCAAGAGGCTTGTTTCTATCTTTTTGTACTATAAAAAAGCTACTGTGCAGTCAAACGCTTCGATATAGATATAACGGCATATGGTACTAACACAAAAGCCACTTATGAAAAAAAATAGGAAAATCCTCAACCTTGAGCGATGAACAGTCTCCTCAATATCTAGAAAAATCGTAAATCACTTACATAAAATGACCCACATTCATCTGATCAATAAAATTATGAAAATAGGCTGTTCACAAGAGGGTGAGTTCACCTTTCCGTTTACATAAACAAAAACATTATGCAGTTAAGACTCAGAGTTAATTAGCTTATGTAATAACAGTTAAAATGCCACTTACTCTGAAAAAAAAAGTGAAATCATACAATCCATTAGCGATAAAACAGTCTCCCAAATCTAGAAAAATCGTAAATCATCTTCCATAAAATGACTCAGCACTCAGTAGACAATAATATTGATGGAAAGTTATTAAGGTGAAAGTGGGGGTTCAGTTTCTAAACTAAGTTCAGTTTTGAGCTCAGAGTTCTACAGTTACTTAGTAATATATGTTATAAACTTGAACCGAAGCTTTAGATGATCAAAATAATTATAATCCTAGTACTAATAATAATAAATAAAATAATAATTATTATTGTTTTAATAATACTCTGCCAGCAAGTTTGACTAACCAGTTCCTATTTTCCGCTTTTTCATTCTTTATGTTTGTCACGTGCCTGCCTGTGTGTGTGTGTGTGTGTGTGTGTGTGTGTGTGTGTGTGTGTGTGTGTGTGTGTGTGTGTGTGTGTGTGTGTGTGTGTGTGTGTGTGTGTGTTGTGTGTGTGTGTGTGTGTGTGTGTGTGTGTGTGTGTGTGTGTGTGTGTGTGTGTGTGTGTGTGTGTGTGTGTGTGTGTGTGTGTGTGTATGTGTGTGTGTGTGTGTGTGTGTGTGTGTGTGTGTGTATGTGTGTGTGTGTGTGCGTGTGTGTGTGTGTAGTCTAACGTGACAAGCAAGACAGCAGTGTTCACAGTGAGAGGTCTACCTTCCGGGCTGCTGCTGACTATCATCATGTATGCTGCCAACACCAAGGGTCGCTCTCAGCCATCCCTCCTGCAGGCTGCCACCCTCCACAACATCAACCATAAACACATCTCTGGTCAGTAACAACTAATGTTTACTTAAACTTAACATTATGGTATTAACATGTCATTAATCTACACTGGAAATATTTTATTAACATATACTGGGAACATGTTATTAATATACACGGGAAACATGTTATTAACATGCACCGGGAATATTCTTAGGCTTAATTCTGATGCTATTAGGCCTCCACTAGTTGTCCTCACATATTCCAGCATTATATTTCTTGCTTTATTTCTCTAGAAGTCTATCTGCTTCAACGTAACTACTTCAGAAGTTTCACAGTTACTATTTTACTCTTGCAGAAGCATTCCATATACTATTTTGCAGAAATCTCACAGCTCAATCTTGACATGTGCAGAAGAATCACAGTTCCATCTTAACACCTACAGACAGCTCACAGCTCACTCTTAACATCTGAAGAAATATCACAGCTCTATCACACGATAAGTTAAACAGTTCTTCTATTACACCTGCAAAACGCTTCTTTTTTTTTTCGTGGTGTAGACGTCGTGCAGAGAGCCAGTGAACTGCCTTCCACGATGGAGCTGCATCCGTCACTCGCCATCATCTTAGGGGTAGTGGGCGGCATCCTGGTCGTGTTAGTGATGATTATTGTGGTGATGGTGGTGAGACGACCACGGAGGGAGATGACCCAGGCACGACTTAGTCAAGAAGTCTCCAGCCTCCACATCCTGACGAAGGACGACAGCAACAGCGGTCGTCTTGACGTTGACGAGAAGGATCCCGATGTCATTCCTGATACCAGAGGTGGGTGTCGTCTCCTGGTCTCCTGGCCAGTGTCAATGTCCGGGATATGCGAAATTGTCGCCAAGTTAAAAGAGAATAAAAGGGTTATGTAAATATTATCCAAGTATAAGAACTGTTACTTTTTTTTCTACTATATTACAACGCCGTCCTTTGAATGGCATATTTATTCTTGGGAAGAGAAAGAAGTCAGTGGGCTAGATTTAGGGAGAAGCGAAGTTGGGGGACGACCACCATGTTGACTTTAGCCAGAATTACGATGATCTATCTGGTCTTAAGTGAGAAAGCGGGAATCAAATTTTGCAGCCACTGGCCTTGTGTTCAAATTTTTGGTTACAATGTTTTGACACGAACCATTAGAAATTCTTACAGCACTTGCAGTATCGAGGACACTCTGACGACGATATTCATAATCAACCTTTTCAATATTGGTATTAATTTTTGACGTCAATAGACGACCAGAGTGTTCATCATCCTCAACTGATGTTCGTCTGATCCATTGCTCATCTTCAATTACTTGCTGAAGTATTTTGTAAGCCTCACTAGCCGTTATATCCAGTTATATCCGTTATATCACTGTTCTTTCTTTTAAAGATTCTGTTTTGTAGGCCTAATCAACAGCTATGGTTAAAACGGACTAACTCTTCTGAGCTCCTGTTTTCACTGTTGAGTTTATAAAAAAATTATAGTGGCGTCTCTTCACAACCTGAAGTAAATGTTTATGCCAACATTACTCAATACAGCGCAGTCTTCTTTAAGTTTACATGAAATTCTGTATTTTGAATCCTTCAAGTTAACAAAACTAAGAACATTCTGGTTAAATGTTGCAAGTGGGAGAGGTTTAAGAGAGCACAACATAGCAAAACTTCTATGCATTTTAAACGTCATAATCATGATGTGTGTTTACGATCATGCTGTTCTTCGTCTCCAGTCTTAAGTTGAGCCTTCGTTAAGCCTTAATGAAGCAAATTTCTTATTTTTAGTTTTTGAGTTCTTACTGCCATCTGCATATTTGAACTCTGATTTTTTTCTTTTCATTGCGACCGCAAGATTTTTTCAGCTCTAGTGGTTAATCCTAAATTGCAACTTGCATCTAAGAAGCATTAATCATTTTTACTTTATATTTTGGAAGGGTATTATTCAATAACTAATTTATTAATCTAGGTACGTATAACACACTCTGTGCTTTTAAATAAACGATAAAGCAATCAGATGTTGGGATGAGAAAGAGAGAGAGAGAGAGAGAGAGAGAGAAAGTGCATATGAGTTCGTGGGAAATTACAGAATTTCAGTCCTCACTGAGTACGGTAAATCTCCAATTATCACATGATTGTTGCAATGATAGTGAATTATAAGGTTATCTCTCCATTCGCTATTCCCTTCAGTATGGAACATGAAAAGAACACACTGCCATGGCATGGCGTGCATGGACATGTTATAGAAATGATGAAAGAGGATAGAAGGCATAGTTAATACTCCTTGCAATTACTTGTTTACTGTGTGCTCTTGGTAGCTTGTGGCTAACTTGTCTTCCTGTATAGTTTATGTTGGTTGGATACAGTCGTTGTTACCAGGAGAGAACTATGCATATTTAAGAAGTGTTTATTTAAGTGATCTACGTCACTGTTTAAGTGCTAAACACTTCCAGGTGCAACGAGTCATTATTTAAGAAGTGTTTATTTAAGTGATCTACGTCACTGTTTAAGTACTAAACACTTCCATGTGCAACGAGTCATTATTTAAGAAGTGTTTATTTAAGTGATCTACGTCACTGTTTAAGTACTAAACACTTCCATGTGCAACGAGTCATTATTTAAGAAGTGTTTATTTAAGTGATCTACGTCACTGTTTAAGTACTAAACACTTCCAGGTGCAACGAGTCATTAATTTACGTAGTGGTTTAAAAAGACAGGCGAATAAACACTAGGACATATTTATGAGATCACTTATAACATACAGAGATTAGAATGACAGTATATATAGAACGGACAGTGTATGTACACTGTCATTTCAACCTCTGTATATTAGAAGTGTTCAAGGTCTCAGAACCGAAACGTGTTTGCTTACGTGTTTTTCTAAACCAACTTGTCGGCATTTATTACCAATGTTTATACCAATTTACATAGTAATCACCTGTATTCAATTTGCTCGACTATCGCCTGAAATTCTAATGACAAAACATCTGAGAGAAATGTGTTTTCCTAATTATGATACAGTAGATGTAGTTGAAGAATCCTGGTATTATTAGAAGGTAAAATCTTTTATTACATGTATATTATTGGTGATAATTTATTATCTACGAAAAAATTAATTATCGCATCCATTATTATAGTTTCCATTAGCTTACCCACAATAGATATAAAATTTTGAGCTCGTCTTTCACTAATTTTACTTATTGTTTGGGTATCAAAAACAAGTTTTAATGATACTGTGCTGACTTCGACTATATTACTGAATATTATAATTAAAAAGTGTTTCATAACGCCTGAGCTTGCTACCATCTGCAGCTCATAAGACTGCCATCCCCACGAGCCCCTTTGAGGCGGGGTAGATGGCAGACCAGAGGCCTAGCTTCTCTCTACGAGCCCCGTGAGGGCGGGGAATGTGGCTAGGCCTGGGGACACTTGGTCCCAAAGATGAGGAGGTACTATACCTCCCCCCATGGGAGACTTAAGTCTCGAGACACTCCCCAGATAGGGAGCCAAGGCCGGGTCACCACTACTTGGAAAAGACCCGGGCCGGGAGAATACCGGCGAATAAAAAAAAAAAAAGTGTTTCATCTGGTACCTGGATTCTTTTAATTTTCTGGTTGATGTTACACGCTCATCTCTGGATTCATTAAGAAATACTTAAATAAAAATAAAGATGACGATTTTACAGGTATATAGCTGGTCTGTTTCACTTTAGAAAAGTACTGTGTACTAGGTGTGTAGATTCAGTTTACAGGTGTGTAGACTGAGATGACGGCAACACTGACAGCAGAGATCACTTTTTTTTATTGGTTTACGTCATTGTATCGCCAGAGTCCCTTTGTAAATTGAAAATAACACTCTCAGAAAAGGTCGCAAGAACCATGTGCAGAGTCTCTCGCATACACACACACACACACACACACACACACACAAGGTGGACAGAGACAGGATGTTCCAGAGAGGGGACAAAGAAGCAAGGGGGTCACAGTTGGAAGTTGAAGACACAGATGAGTCAAAGGGATGTTAGGAAGTGAGGCAGTGGACGCAAGAACCGTACATAGTTTTAAGATGAAGTATGAAAAAGCTCATGGAGCAGGGAGAGAGAGGATCTAATAGCACTCAGTGAAGAGGCGGGGCCAGAAGTTGAGTCTCGACCCCTGCAACTACAATTAGGTGAGTACACACACATACACACACACACACATACATACACAAGCACACACACACACACACACACACACACACACACACACACACACACACACACACACACACACACACACACACACACACACACACACACACTCACGGTTCAGGGAGAGTGACCTAGTAGCGACCAGTGAAGAGGCGGGGCCAGGAGCTTGGACTCGACCCCTGCAACCTCAACTAGGTGAGTACAACTAGGTGAGTACACACACACACACACACACACACACAGAATCAGAAACAAAATCAGCAGGCGGGGAGATGGAGCGAACGGAGGTAAAAAAGATCTTTGCAGAATTTTTCTTAGGCTTGTAGGCGGCACAAGGTGATAAAGGGAACAGCAAAGAGCCTGTTAACAACAGACAACGAATATGGAAGAAGAGAAAGGTGGAGGAAAGAGACAGAGAGGTCGGTGACCGGTGGGAGGACGAGTGATGATATATGGGTGGCGGAAGATCCCGACTGTCAGGTGTGGAGTACGAAATGCACTGACACATATTCAGAGAATGAGTAGATATTCGAGATACATAATACACTCAGTCAGGCTGACCCTTTCAGTGAAGTGGCACGAGATGAGACTGTAAAATTGAATTGACTGTCAAGACAGTCAGGAAACAACTGCAATTTGTTTCTCGACAGAGACAGAACGCTCAGAAACAGAGACTGAGCAACTGAGAAAAAGAATGAGATTCAGGAAAGATAACGATAATATGAGGAAGCTCAGCCTCCACAAAGCTCCCTAGTATTCTTTTTCACTCAAAAGCAGTAACTCAAAAGAAATCGTATTGATTAACACATGTCTTTCCTCACCTTCACTCACCATCCTCACCTCTTACAATGAAAGTGCTTTCCTTACCACCACCCTTTATTCCAACCCTCAAATCCATCTTGCCTCTACTGCATCCTCTGTTCCTTCTTACATCTACAATCCTGATACCTTCCAGTGCTAGAAGCATTTCCATAAACTCCCCCTTTCACTCTTATCAACAAACTCCAACCTTCCCTGTGACCTCTCTTGAACCTTCCCTGTGACCTCTCTTGACCAAGATAAGGAACTAAGGAACCAATAAACAGAAACACAGTAGCAAAACACAAATACATATTTTGCTTTATCTTATAATTTTATCAATAAACGCAAATATTAAATTACACCATTTAATTTTTTAACTTTTAGAAACTGATTATTTCACAGGTAAATACAGTGACCCAAGTGTTCTGTTTATAACTGAGATATGAAGTACACAATGTAATATAAAATATTGTGCAATAAGGTAGGCAATATTACATAACAATGACAGAGCTTACATGGTATTAGATTTAATCATGACATGTACCGTACACAATATTGTACTAAACACTGGTATATGGTACACGGAATGCTGTACATAACACTGGCATATAGTGAACACACTGTTTTACTTAATAATAATAATAATAATAATAATAATAATAATAATAATAATAATAATAATAATAATAATAATAATAATAATAATAATAATAATAATAATAATAATAATAATAAACATAGTAGTGCCGTAGCAAAAATACGTTCTCTACAATGTACGAGTTCTCCCTAAGTCCCCTTCACTTGACCCTCTGAAATCAGACATACCACAAGGGGATCTTGATTTACATCATCTCCACAGTTTATGGGATTGTTCAGAAACAACAGTTTATTCCAAAAATAGATAAGGAGAATGGACTGTATTCTGGTAATTACTTAAATACTAACGAGGGTATGAATATCGTGGGGAATATATACTAAACAATGTGAGTGTGGCTGCGTGTTTCTGACCCAGAGTTTAT